TACTGCGGCTGATGCCCTAAATCCTGCAAGACTTTAAGCATCGCCACGATTCCCCTGCTGCCCCTAATCTTAATATTGCTCTCATGCAGGGGCTGGAGAAAGGCCTTGCGCGAATGCCCTAAATCCTGCATGACCCCATGGAGATGCAACATTGAAACTGAGGGGTTGCGGGGAAGTGGACAATGCGACATGAGATATGAGCGATGATGTAAATCATGCAGGATTTTGGGCTACTACTACTACTACTACTACTACTACTACTACTGCTACTGCTACTGCTACTGCTACTGCTACTGCTACTGCTACTGCTACTGCTACTGCTACTACTACGTGCCGGTAACCTAGAACAACTGTTTGAGCAAGATTGCCAAGGCATCCTTCCAATCTTGCCCCACTTGCTTCGCTTGCCCCACTTGGGGGGGGCGGCAAGATTGCACGCAAGCTTGGTCAATCTTGGTCTGAAGATGCAAACTAGTAGGCGAGCAAGTGGAGCAAAATGACCAAGATTAGCAAGATTGATGGCAGTGTTGCTTTTGAAACAAGATTTACCAAGATTGCAAGCACTACCACCACCTTCACTACCACCACAACACCACTATTACTACTACTCCTACAAACTACAACAACCAAGAACGTGGGCATCATGCGGACAGGCATCGTACTTGCAGCATCTCGTGCGCGTACTTACTTGAAAACTTCGACCAAACATATTATGGTTCTCATCCAAACGCTGCCCGCGATGCCGTGGATCCACTCGATCTTGTCCCGGATGCCGATCCCAGTGACGAAATCCTGTTTTACTGACTACTGTCGGGCCTGCTTGCAGTGCAACAGCGGCCAACCGTTCCTAACCAAGCCTTGAATCGTTTTCTTGATCGCCATCTAAGGCGAATCATGCCAGGCAATTGTGCCAACGCAAGAATAAAGCGCAAGAATAATGCGAATTCCTCTGACCTGTCAAGCCCCATGGTGGGCGATGTGGTGACGATGACAATATGTACTGCTTCTACTCCTGCTCCTGCTCCTACACCTACTCCTCCTACTTCCATTGCTATCACCAACACCACCCTGACGACTACTGACTCCTGTAGTACTACTACACTACTCCTACTGCTACTGCTGCTGCTGGCACTTCCACTGTTGCTGCTGCAACTGTCACTTCCACTACCACCAGGCTTCAGCATTCCTGTGCATGTCGCAATCAGGCAAAGGGGACCCAATGCCATGGCATGGCCTGCAGCTTCTTCCAGTTCAATTTCGTCACACGCTCGTTGGGTGCCTGGCAGCCGACACGCCAGGAAAACTCGAAAGGGATCCCCCGCAGAACCCGCGTAGTCACCGAGGCGACAGCAAAAAAAAGCCTAAGCCCCCTTTAAGCGTTTCAGACTTGGCCGGTGCCTGGCTCTTGACAAACTCATCAAGCCTGTCCGTTGCCAGCCAAAAGACACCTCGGGCACGGCTTCTCTGGTTTTTGAAGCCTCCGGGCACGCCCGGAGCCCGAAATCCTGCTGTATCCCTTGAACCCAAAATGCCGACTTGCACTGCAAACCACCGAGGTTGACCGCGCAGCATCACTCTGGGAGCACCAAGCGGCAGAGCATGCAGGACAGCGCGCGGTGCCGCTCGTTCTCGGAGGAGAAGCGCGCGTGGGTGCCCAGCGTCTGGTGCAGCTCTGGAAAGAGCCTCTCCAAAAGAGTGGACAACGCACTTTTTGCTCTGAATCTTGCAACCATTCTGTTGGCTTCTGCACCCACACCCAAAACGTGGAACAATCACCCCGCTCCGGACTGCCTTTCAATCTCCTTTATGATCTCCTCGCCTCGGTTCGCCAGGCCGGGCGCGATAATGAACGCAGTGCATCGCCACAAACTTCCGAGCACCAAGCAAGCCGAAGAACTGTGAGCAACGCATAAATAGTACGGCTACCACTGCTGTTTCTGTTTCTACTGTGACTGCATTTTATGACCGTCAGTACTCTGAACCTTTGGAACTCCCAAAGCCCTCTAAGAGCTGGGCCGGAGGTCAGTTCTCCGCTCAGAACCTTGCGTATCAGTTCCTTGGTGTCCTTGGCTGCCCGAGTTTTGAGGACTTCGGTGCACGGGATCTGATGAGCCTAAGTAAGAGGAGCTCCTATGAAGCTCTGTAGCCATCTTCCCGTTCGTCCGGGTTGCTGCTCCGCTTGGGTACGGCTTGGGCAGAAAGAAGAATTGTAGCAGCCTGTCCTGAAAGCTGGGTGTGCAAGGTGGACGCTTCCGCAACACTTCTGTCCCTGCAGAAGAATGCCGAGTCGGCATGGTCAACAGCCGATTTTGAATTCACTTCCTTCCCGCCCTTCTCCCGTGAAACACTACATGACCAGCACGCTGCAGCCAGGGCAACACCGAACACAGAAGACGCCTTCGTGAGGTTTTTGAGCTGGAAAGCATCGGTGGCTTCCTTTGCACGAGAGACTTCGTAAAGAGCATGCAAAGCAATATCAGACCTTCAATAGATCAAGGGTGCACGGGGAATCACGAGGCCACGATCCGAATACAAGGGAAGAAACGACACTACTGTCAGAGGCAGAGACAATCCAATGAAGCCCAGACGCACAGCACTCCTTTCGAACCGGCTCTGACAGTGTCTCCTCTGCCAGGAACTCCTGACCGTGTTGTGTTGTTCCCATGGTGATTGGAGTTGGGCTTGAACAGGTTACTTGGCCCAAGGAAATGATACTGTCGGGCACTCCACTAGACTTGAAGTTAATCTTGGGCCCTACGCTGACCACGCCGCACTCCTAAGCGCATGCTCCTCCGCATTCAGCTTGGACTGGAGGCAGCGCGCATATTGATACACATAGCCACAGCATTCTGGAAACTCCTTCGAGGATCAAAGCAGATCTTATACAGAAAGAATATGTCAGGATCTGCCAAGCCCGTGTCTATGTTCATCTTGAGGAGTTTCTGCTTCGTTTCGATGCATTCAACGGACTTCCCAACAACTCGAGGATTAGAAAGTATTTAAAAGGCTTTCGGCAGCAGCGCTCGGAAAGTTTGGCGCTCTACTCAGTGACACAATTGCCGAAGCAAGTACATGTGCCTGGATAGCCTTCGCCAACGCCGTAGCTGGGAGGATAAACGTGTCCTGGGTACAGTTTGCAACGCAAGATGTCTGTCAAGACCATAGGCACATTGTGCAGTCTTGGATCGTTGAACTGGACGGAGACCATTGTGCAGGTGTGCTGGAAGGATGTGAACAGCGAGATCTCGGCCCAGAATTCGAACTCCTTGGAGATGAATGAACGGAAGTGGCGGCGAACCAGAATCGATTGCCGGAACCAGGTCCCTGCATGAAGACTTGAATCTTCTACAACTACTCCGACTGAACAAACTTCTAAAGTGCGGCCTCGTGACGGTCAGCGTAATGCTAAGGACATCACTGTCCACTTCTTCCTGCAGCGACTATGGCAACCCTTCCTGGACTTGTATGCTTCGCGTCCACGGAGTGTTGTTGGCAGTGCCGTTGAAGTCGGTTTCAATACATCAGGGCACATGTCCCAGCCATGTCCCACCCGGAGCTCCTGATACTGACCCGGGCCAGGCATGTACCTCAGCAGGGCTGCTTCATGTACTCTTCGACCGCAAATCGAGGACCTCGTAAGCTCCCCACATTCCACGGCCCTCGGAGAAGCGCGTAAACATGATCTCTTTGTCCTGCTACGCATGACGTCTAGAGAGATACAGGGAGACAAAAGGACGGAGAGACAGAGAGAGACAAAGAGACAGAAAGAGGGAGACAGGGAGGAAGGGGGGGAGGGGGGAGGGGAGTCTCCTCGAAGACGGTCAGCTCTAGGTGTCCACAGAGCTGGGTAAAGGCACCTGGGCTCTGAGAGCTCTCCAAGACTTAGGGTTCATCAGCTACAAAGCTTTGGCCCAAGAGAGGCACGCTGCGACAGCTGCTCCAGGAAGCTGTACATCCTGAGCAATCCAAAGACCATGGCATGGCGTGGCGTTAACAGCAAGACTTGGAAAGAAAGCCCAAACACCCTGACCGCAGCTAGCAAACAAAAAAGCTGCACCTTGAGGCTTGAGGCCTCAGCTCTGACCCTCCGTTTTTTGGGTGCGGCGAGGCTGCGCATGCTTTCGCAAAACTGGCCCGCGCCGGTCCATGTGCAACCTTATGCAGCAATCTGAAGCATGAGATTCGGATAAGCGGGAGTTCGCACGGACAATGTTGCAACGCTTCTCTACCATTCCGCGCGTTCACCGAAAGACTCACTGCCTTGCATTTTGCGAGCTTGGAAACCCTTAAAGAGCGATGCAACAATGTCACCCGAACCCTCGAGCTGAGCCACTCGTTGACCAGCGTCTGTGAGAGGAGTTGTGAGTCCAAAGGTGCCGCTTTGTGCTTCCTGGCCGGGGGGCAGACCTATGGGTCCTCACAGTGACGCGGGGCTGCCACTGATGGAGCCCCGTGAAGCTCTACCCCTCCAGAAAGCAGGACTCAAAGTGTGTTTTCGCCAGACCCCTCCTCAAGCTGTGATCTACAAAGCGCAGCACTCGAATGCACAGGTGAGAGCTGATCTTGTTGATCTTGAGATACCTGGGCGGCTGGGAGACGATACCCGTACCTCTTATTCCTGTTTGGGCAGTTGCAATCAACGTCTTGAAAACGCAGGCTTCGAGCTTCGAATCCAGGCACATAGCCACTTGGCGCTTTCGGTCACCAGCCTCACCGGAAGCTCAGACCGACAAGGCTTCTGAATGCTGCCTACATTTGTTGCTTAAGGTCGTAGCTGCCGTGGCACCGATCGGGACCCCCAGCGCCCCGCAACATCATTCAAAAAATACTACAAGCAACGAAAGACCAAACCCAAGAATCACAGCCCTGTAGGGCTTCTGCGCCTCCGAGTTTAGCTTGATCACCTGCTGGATCGTTGCAGAGACCCGGGAGATACAGCTTGCAACCACGAGCCTGGGCTTTTCTGGGATTCCCGCGCTTGAGAGTTCCCCGGCCAGAACAGGAATCTTCTGTTCAGACGAGGATGCAGGTTCGGGTTGAAGGCTCAACTTAAAACAAAGCTTGGAACGAACATCGCTTGTTGTCTGCTGGCAGTGGGAAAGTACGTAACAAGTGCTGGCCTCTACAGTGGGTGTTTTGCAAAGTGCCATGTAGAGGTGCTTGAAGTATCTAAGTCGGCTAAGCCAACCAACCTCCTGTGAGCGCACACGGATTGTGACGGGCAGGCCTTCCTCCCAAAAATTAACCGATTCCAAAAAAGCCAGCCAAAACACAAACTACCCCAAACTGTAAAAGAACTCGCCCTGGCCGAATTGGCCCTCAATCCCTTGTACTGAGCCGTTTAGCGGGCTTGTATCCTAAAGAGGCTGCAACAGTAGCGGGTTGCAGCGGCTTTCGTATCTGCCTGCGACCCTTGACAACCAGGTTTTGACCAAGCAAGTAGCAGGGAGAAGAAGATGACGAAAACGTTGTACCTGTTAGCTGGGGCGGTTCAAGAGCGGCACATATGTTGAACCCAGGATTTGCAGAACGCTGCACAGTCCCCACCATCACGGATTTAGCGAGGTCACGCTCTTTCTGTGGCATTCCACGCATGGATAGCCATGGGTGCTGGTGTAAATTGACCCAGGATCCAGTGGCAGCAGGCCAAGTACCTGACGGAGCAGTCAAGTTCTACAAACCTTCAATCGCCCGGACTGAAACTCCACTTTCGGAGTATGCATATGTTTGTGTATATGTGTATTTTTGGCTCCCACTTGGCACTGTCAGCGAGCTGACACTGCATGGCAGGTCACATGTCGGATTCGGAAGCTTTACAGCACCAGAATATATATATATATATGTGTGTGTGTGTGTGTGTGTGTGTGTGTGTGTGTGTGTGTGTGTGCGTGCGCGTGTGTGTGTGTGTGTGTGTGTGTGTGTTTGTTGCTTTTTTCTGGCTCCGCTTGGAATCATCCGCAGATTCTGCATGGCAGGTAAAAATTGCGCTACGGTTGACTGGATTCCATCACTTCCAGGTTTGTATATATGTATATATGTACATAGAGAGAGAGAGAGAGATGACAGATAGATAGATATATACATACAGAGATGGATAGACGGATGGATAAATAGACAGATAGATAGACAGATAGGGAGACAGAGAGAGATGGAGAGCGGTAGAGATAGAGCTAGAGATAGAGATAGACATACGCATGTGTATCCATAACACAAAAGTGCTTGCAAAGCCGCTGTTCGGACTGCCCCTTGGAGTGGTAGCTGTATCTGGTGAGCCAGCTTTCCTTCGGATTTGATGACAGGGCTGGGCTTGCATAGTCAGCTCTCAGGAGAACTCTGACGCAAAATGCTCAGAACTGAAGAGATACTGTCTGACACTTGATGATGCACCACATATAGATGCGACTGCCTGTTTGCAGGCCTGCTTTGGCAGCTATTGTCTCTGACTAATAGGTAGGGCTGCCACAAACACTTTAAAGCAAGAATGTCTGATTGGAGAAAAGAAGGCTTGCCCACAAGGTGCCAGCCCGTTCTCTTCACTTGTCTTGCCAACCATGAACCAAAAACATCCAAGCACCTGGGCTCCAGCAAGAGATTCGCCATCTCGTGCTTTTAGCTCGTCACGACACGCAGACAGAAATCTTAATCTTGCAGCTCACAGGCTTCACTTCGCATTTTCTAGAGATAAACAGGCAGGGGCGCGCGCATGCACGTGCTGTAGTCTATGCCGGTTCTCACTCTAAGGAAAGTCTGCGGTTGCAGAGCCGGTTGAAACCAATCGCGATATCCTGCGTCTCGGAAAGCTCAACAGCTGGACGGCCGAGGTACATGGACAGAGAAGACGATCAGCAACAGCGCCTGTCCCAAGTTCTGGCTTTGCTCCCTTGAGCTTACGACGACGGCTCGCGACTGGTAGACTGCATGGGGATTTCTTGGTTTGCATTCTGGACCTCTGTCACCCTCTTCCTCCAGCTGAACCAGTTTTTGCTTCGGCCCTCTGTCTTGGCTCGCGAAGAATGGCCTTCGCCACGGCCACGACCAGCTGCATCCCTTGCATATAGGCGTAGCCCAAAGAATCCTCTTCTGGCGGCTTTCGGCATCGGGTTTCGCTCGAAACGGGGGGGCCGGCTTGGATCAGCGGTTTCGCAGTTTGGACACCAAACACTCAAGATGGGGATCGTATGTCTCGGTTGTCCATAGGCAGAACCCATTTCACGTGGACACACTCCTCGACGACCTGCAGCAAGTTCTGCAGCTTAACCAGACGAAGCAGCCGAACTATTCGGACCTGGTGGCGCATAGTCATGGTCACAGAAGCGCTCCCAAGTGCATGCACTGTCCGCTCTAGCAGCTCAACACTTGTCGCACACCGCTGCTGCGTAGCCGAAACCCTTCGACCAAGATACAACACGAGCCACACGCAAGACTCGACCGCCGACGCCCATCGAGTTGCCTGGGCGAATGCATCGACAAATGCATCGATGCCAGCCACATACGGTGACAGAAGTTCCGCCCAAGCTGCTTGAAGTCGTACTACCCTCGAGCACCAACATGACCTGCAGCACTAGCCAACTCTCCCAGAAGGCAGGCATGGAGACCACTGCTCTCCAATCCCTCACGGGAAGCCGGCAGTGATGCGTTGATGCGACGGAAGACCCGAGTCCGAATCAAGCAGGTCAGAGCTCTCAAAGCCTTTTTCTTCAGAGTTGCTTCTTGCAGCCTAGAGAGCTGCAGACAGAAACTAGACAAAACCTATCTGACGAAACTAAGCGACTAAGCCGAGTAGGCGTGAAACCGCAAGCCTCAAGCACTCCTCGCGAAAATGCTGGGCAACAGCGTCCTCCAAACTGGCATAGAGGTCGCAGGGAAGTAGGACCGTTTTCAAACCAATCCGAAATTGCTTTAAAGCAGTTGCAACCATGGGATGCAGAGAACCCTCCAACAACCGCAATCGCGCAGCAAGGTTTGTGTTCTCCAGACGAGTTCCTGGAGTTCGTTCGATCAGCTGGCGATGCCCGAAGTTCGTTTTTCACATCCGGGATAGCGATGTTGCTAGCCGCTCCAACATGTCTGATCCATGTACCTGCTTGCCTGAAAAGGCTATCCTGCCGAGATGGTGTCGTCAGCCGGTGGTCTTCTTTGGGCCAGTCTGCCAGTGACCCGTGGCATGTGTCCAATTGCTTTGGCCTTGTCGAACACTCGCTGGGAGGTCATTGTAGGCCCAGAGCTTCGATGTGCAGCTGGGAAGCGCCTCTCCAACCCTGGCAGTGAGGGCACCAGGAACAAGCATGGTAAAACGGCCGTGCGGAGGCAGCACGGTGTCGCTTCGCCGGTTACATCGATGCCCTGGAAGAGCTCGGCTCGGTGAACAGATCCAGGTCAGCTATTCGGCTATGCCTTTTTTACTCTGTGGAGCTCGGTTGACCGGCGACCGGCCGCCTGCCATCACAGCAAGCTGATTGAACTCGTCAGTGAAGGCGACTTGACCTGTCGTCTTGATGAACACGGCGTAGCTCTGCAAAGCAAAGGCTGCTGCAGGAGCGCCGAAAGCTGCGCCGAAGGAATGGAGCGGAGACGACGCAGTGTACAGCATTGAATGGCAATGTTACGACGGAGAGCGACTGTAGAGCTGACTGCAGTTGTGAAGCCAAATGCTGCGGGCACGTCACCAGCAAATCTCACCATGGCACCACACGGTAACTGCTCCGAGCGACCCAATCAAACGTCACCACGGCCACATCGAATAGGAACCAAGTCCTGTTGCACACAGTTGCTTCTTGGGCACGGATTGCAAAGAGATTTAGCCCTTGCTTGAATCGCACGATACTTTCCAGGCAGTGCTGAGGAAAGCAATCGGCTAGACTTCCCACCTCGAAACTGCCCTGGCTTCATACAGTAACTCTGCAGTAACTGAGAAAACAGGCATGTAGGGGCCTTGCGTTCCAAGTTCGTCGGCGAATTAAGCCCAACCCGCCACCTTAACCCGCCACCCTCCGTCCTCAGGTAGTGCGTCAATGCCCTCGCAGGCGACTGGACGAGGAGACCATTCTCGTAAAAGCCTGGGTATTACTATCATTACTATTACTAATATACAATTATTATTATTATGAATATTAGTATTCTTACTGTTAGTATTATCATTCGGGTAGGTGTTGGTTGCCATTGCGATTCTTACTACCACGGCTGTCTTGTCTCTAAGGTTGCGGTTATTCACAATGGCTGCTGTACTGCATTGCTATTGCTCGTGTTGAGTGTGCTGGTGCTATTTTCATTATTGCCACTCCTCCATTGCTGCCATGTAACTATTGTTGCTACGATCTGCACTACAAAAGTTGGTACTGCTGATGATTACATGACTGGCACTGCCTCCTCCTCTGGCTGCTACAGCCACGGCACGCAACTGCTACTGCTCCTGCTCCTGCTACCACTACCACGAACACTACTACCACCACCACTGCTACTACAAGGTCCTACTGCTGTTGTGGGTACCACGCTAGTCGCTATCCATTGTGCTTTCAACTATATGGTTTACCGTAGTTAACGCTAGTGATAGTTTTCACTAATCGCACTATGACCACTAAGGTGATTCTTTAGGATGAAGCACCAAGCCCGGCCTGTCTGCGCGCTCGCGCCGATGTCAACCGTCCAGTAGAGCATCATGGGTACTAGAACCGACTCGACCTGCAGCAGCGTCCCCGGGTTGCTTTGGGTTTGCGCATGTTTGCACACTGATCGGAGTTGCTAGTGTGATGATGTTCTGTTCTTTCTTTGGTTTGACTTGGGGTTGCTGCATGTTGCTGGCAGTTTAACGACCCTCCAGATTCAGGAACTTGATGACAGCACTGACCTTGTAAGGAGGCATGCCTGCAGGCCTAAGATGGCGGAGAATACATGACATCACATGGGTATCAGCAGGCTCGGATGTCAAGTTGACGTCGCAGCTTTCGCCCTTCAACCCAAACCCCAAACACCAAAACAGAATTCGTCTTCGCAGAATACCGCGGACCTCCGAGTTCGGAATTTCCCAGCTCACGATCACCGGGATGGAGAAGGCGTCGAAGATAACCTAAAGTCGCTCGAGGTCCAGCGGTCGTTGAAAAGCCCACATGACAATCGTTCTGATAAGCATGCTAACCCAAGTAGCACAAAGCAGCCCCACGAAGGACCAGACCAGTCGGGCTGTGGAGTGTGGATCCATCAGCGTCCCTTGGTCCGACACAACTGCTCTATGACGAGTGTTGTCGGTGTGGCTTTCCAACCTTTTCAAAGTCAACCCCCGACCCTCGGAAACGAAGCCGAAGGGGCGATGCAGGCACGTCAGTGCGTGCTCTGCTTGCTTCTCCTTCTTCACCTCCTTACGATTCTGTCGGCTCGGTTCGGAGTCTAAGGGCCGCCTAGGCACGACGACGCTTTCCAGAGAGCGCTAGTGGCCCCAGCGTGCAGTATGTAGGCCGGGAACTCCAGGGCGGGAGCCCCTTCAAACCCTGTCTCCTCGTGCATGAACAGGTTCATGTGAGACCTGCTCGTCGATTGATATCGCATCTGCACGTCCTGGATAAGGAAACAGGAGCTATCGCAGCCGGCTGTGGTCGCAAATCGCAAGCCTGCGCTATGGCCTAAGCGTTCATTCACCACCCTCGCTGGATCAGTTCTGCGTCCACTGCTCCCCCCACCGGCCACCGTCCCAGCCCCTATCAGCTACAGTAGCATTCGGAAAAAAATCAGGCACGGACAAGACCGGCAACTACTGACTCCCTCCCTGAATCGCCTCCGCACGGCTGTTGAGCTCTTCCTGCCATCAGAACGCTTTGCAGGCTGCCCCGCTGCAAAATTTAGCTGTTCGCCATTCACCGCACGCGGCATCTGCTGCATCCCTGCTGCCAAGGCACCCAGATACCGTACCTTTTGCCAAACAGGCTACGTTTGAAGAGGAATGAAGACTGCAGTCCAAAATGATCTCGAAGCCCAGAGACGGAAGGAAGCCGAGGGACAAGGAGTAGAGCTTGCGCTTTTTCTCAGTGCTGATGGAGGCGACGTTGGACCCCGCCGGCCTTGCTACCCGTTCGGCTTCGTCCCTACTTGGTGCACACGGCCGCAGGTGCACGTAGCTTTGCGGGCACCGGGTTCAGGCTTGCATGGCTTTAAGCTTCACGCCGCCCGGAATTCTACACAGCTGCCCGATCCACTGATGCAACCGCGGCGCACGACGCGCTCCTGCTGCGCCCTCCAGAACCTCTGCAGCGCGATGGGAACCTGGACACGCAAAACGCCTCCGGTCCGGAAGGCATGGGATCGGGGGGCTTGTGCCTGTCGCGAAGTTATACAGCTTGCTATTGCTCAAAAGCCCGTGTCCCAGTCAGGCCTTCGGGTTTTCACCCAAGGGCGACGAACTCTCGCCATTCGTGAAAGGCTCCTCAGGTTCCAGGTTCCGAGCATCATGGGGGGTTTTGTCGGATGAAGGAACCATACGAGGTCCCCGCCTGAGCTTTCTTCGCCAAGCTGGAAGATGCGCTGGCCGAGAACTGTCGCACCGCGGCCTGCCAGTCGGAGGACCCTCTATTTCAGCACGGGTTTTGGGCGTATGCCCGCAAGCTGGACTCTCAAGGTCCTCCGGCCCAAACCTTAAACCGTAAAGGGTTTAGGCAAAGCACAAACTCCAACTGCGAAGCCTTCCCCATGCCGCCCGGCCTTCACCTTTTGGGACCGTGAAGCGATCTCCTCAGAAGGATGGTGGCGATGGTAAGGGATGCCCACATTTCTTTTTGCCTCCAATAGAACCGTGGAAGACGCCAAGGCCGAGTTTGACGATGGGAAGAAAGTCGCTCTGGCAAAGCCAAAGCCCACTCGGACAACTAGGGGTGAGATCTCAAGGTGACTCCGAGTGAGCCAGAACTGAGGGTAGCAAGCAACTGGCAGCAGGACATGATCACTCTACGTGCAGTCCGAGCATGCCAAACAACGTCGGCTGGCAACCCATGTTTTTTTTTGCGCCTCTCACTGAGACGAGAAAATGGATGGACAGTGATTGTGCAACACTAGCCTAACCGTGAGACCCTTGCCCAAATCTGACAAGTTTCGTCCAACTCATGCTCAATTGCAGCCACCGCCTGCACAAGCAATTGCATCTTATCTTGGGTGTAGAGGCTCATTCTTGTATCGTCCCGTTTGCCATGGTTTTCTTAAATGACAACACAGGCTATGGTTCTCGGTCGTGTAATTCTTCTCGTTTCGCACAGGATTGAAAAGCTCCGAACAGTCCGAAGAGGAGTTCCGGTGCGGCTTGGCTCGTGTTCACATCACGAGGGCACGAGGCCTTCTGGGTAAACTACCATCCCCGCCATTACGGCTGGCTACAATCGTGAATCTTTGCTTTCCTGTCGTTCAAAATTCTGGCTAGTGCTGGCGTGAGCAGCGTCGTCAACATCACCACCATACTCGTCACCACGGCAATCAAAACTACGAGTACACATGTCATCTTCATCGTCACAACCTCAGCGGAGGCAGCAATACCAGGATCATGCGCACCATGTAGTATGTCACGAAGACGAAGTCAAGAAAGTCTTCAAACACCCGAAGAAGGAAACTCCGCAGCAAGCCTCGGAGATTCCCTCCATGGCCAGATTGGGCGGTGCTTTTCTCCCGGGACGAGGAGTTTCGCCAACTCTTCTGGAGCCGTGCAGGCTCCAATGTCAAGTTTGAGTTTGCGATGCTGCGTTCAGGGCTTGTCTTCGTGGCTTTATGGGGTTCGCAGCGACAGATCGGGCATACAGTCTGCAGATTCTTGCGCAACCAGACCACTAGCTCGACTGTCTTCGTACAAGCTTGCATGCTTCTCCGAATCCTTAGCCACAAGGCCGCACTTTGAGCCAAGCAGCTGGGGCAGGTTCACATGATGCAAGGATACTAAGTCTGCTCTAGGAGTCAGTTGTCTAGTGGCTTCATGCAGGAGGGAGCCCGAAACGCAACGTCAGATTTATCCTGTCCAGCCTCAGCAGTACCCAAGATAGCTTTAGGTTTACGTATCCATCCTTTCCGAGGCTGCAAACCGGTGCGAAAGCAGCGCTGCAGTTGTCGCACGGTTTCTCCTTGGAGGCTTGCCGTGGCTTTGATAATCTGACTAATAATCTGACGTGTCTGGATCGGAGCTTCTGCGCTTCCGGGCTTGGTGCCCAGATTCTCAACTCGAGGGGCCTGGACTCACTTTCATGGAAATCAAACACCCTTGCTAGAAACGGAACGGACACAAAGCACTCCAGCATGATGAGTGTTGGGCAGACCGGAAAGGAAAAATACTGACAGAAGAAGGCACAGCACTATGAGCACTTCCTCTGATAACGATCCCGCTCCCTCCGACCAAAATCTCAGTCCGGGAGTGGGTTTTGCAGTGACAAGCCGGGCTGCATCCGGCAAGCCGCAGTTGGTGATCACCTGGTCCTGCCGAGAATGGCCGATGCAAATCTCCAAGCTTCAAACGGAGACCAACAAAATCAAACCCCTGCAGGCTCTTCTCTCTGAATCCTGTGGCCGTAAAAGGCTAGTCTCGAAGGCTTGTGCACCACACAGCGGCGATCCTCTGCAAAGAAGAGGCAGCGCGAGCCACCAACAGCAATGCTGCTCATCTCCTTGAGAAGCTCAAGTAGCGAAGCCCATGGCATCAGTCATGATCCCAAGGCCCAAGTCCCCACAAATGCCCGAGCCTCCAGGGGCACTTGCTGAGGGCCAAGAACTTTGAGGGTGTAGATAGGCATGCCGCAGAAATTCACCACCACCTCGGCCGCGCAGCAAGGCGCTCACGGCCCCACGGCTCGGTCCCCGGGGCCGCTGCCTGGAACACCGCCACCCAGAACTGGAGCACATTCCTGTCAAAAGCAACACGCGAGTGTAGAGAACAGGGCTGCGAACCTCGATGTGCTGTCAGCATGAATAGCATGAAATGAACTGCAATGAAGCATCTTCAGGAGCATTGCTCACGCTCGTCCACCCGACACAGCAGATCACGATTTAGATTTATCCTACACACGCTGTTTGAGGCAAGTGACACGTCCAAGTCGCCGTCAAAGCCGCGGAAGGCAATCTCCTGCGGGAGGAACCCCTTTCTAGAGAGTCCTTCTCCAGCTCTGAAAATATGCCAAGGTGTCGGGGGCAAAGTCTCACAGGAAAGCCCTCGCCGCCCTAGCCCCGTTGCCTTGAAGACGGTCGAAAGCGCCTGTGGGAGCAAGGCCTCCACGGGACCCCACGGGATACAGTCGAAGCGCATTGCACGCTTTCTGGGCCCACGACGAGGCAGAAGATGAAATTGAAGACCGGCTTGTTCTGGTCCTGCGGAAGCTGCGCATCTCTCCACTTCGGAACGCCTTACTAACAGGTCATCGCGATTCACGGAAAGTGGTTCTTCGAGCTTCTGACGGTGCGCTCACGAAGCGCCAGGAAAGTTGCTTGGCGCTCCTGGCTGCCTTTGGCTTTTTCTCTGGCAGCTCACTTTGTTTGGGACACCCTCCAGCACCAGGGGATTGAAATAGCTCCACCCCTCCTGGGCACTGGTCCGCTGGTGCCAGGGAGCGCATCCCAAAAGCTACATTCCACGAACTACTGAACTACTTCATGCGCCCCAGAATCTGTGGACTTGCCCTCAGACCTGCCCGCACCTCAGAAGATGGCATCTTCGTGAAACACGACAGCACCCTTCCTCCTTGGAACTTCGGCCTGCCCTGGGGCGGATGCCCTTGCAACTTGCAACATGACTCCCTGCTCCCACGCTGACGGCGCCACCATCTGGAAGCCAATGTCCACTAGTAGGTGACCACCTCATTGTCTACTTTGATTTCGCCGCAAGGTCATACGGGTAAAGTTAAAGCTTCGGAGAAGGCAAGGGCTACACTGGACGGTGTCATGTTCAGCTGTTCAAAGCTCGCACGCAGTTACAGACATCTTCCTGGGAAGTCTAGACGTGCCGAGAGCCAGGCTGCGCGGAGGCACTCGCCAGAGTGCAGTGCATCGATCGCCTTCAGGTTGCCTGGCCCAAAGGCCAAAGAGCCGTCAGGCTGAAAAAAGAGCAGCGAAGAACTCTTTCTCTGCTCCATTGGTCCATGCCATGCAGCCGGACATGTGCCGAACTTGTGCCGACCATCCGCCTTCTACACCCTCAAAGCGGTGCGTAATGTAGTGATCCAGCTTCAGCTTCCCGGCCTGCCAGGACCACCGGACCCGGGGTGATTATCATGTTATCATGGTCTTACAAGACTGCGCTTTGGCCATCTTCGCCCCTAAAATATCCTCAAACTCTGCCATTGCCCACCGACCGACCGACCTAGCTACCTACTGCTACCTACCTACCGCCACTGCCAAGGAATCATCTCTCGCCGGCGCCGAAGCAGTGAGAACCATCTTCATCTCAAGCTCTGAAACTACACCTGCTTGTCCCAAATGAGTATGCCCAGGGGGGCCTCGTAGGCATCGATCAAAGGCGGCACCTCGGATCGCCCCTTGAAGCCGCCAAAGGCCTGGCGGATCGGAGTGGAAGCCAGTCGGAACATAAGGGGGTTCATCACAGCCAACACAAATGTTGATTATGGGTGGTCGTGGGGACGAATTGTGGCTACGGTGATGACTGCAGATGGCGATGACGATGACTGATTCTGGCGACATGATTCGAGATGCTACTGTACTGCTGCTGTCATAGTCGTTTTCGTCATCACCACCCTTGCCACGAACACGATTATCACCACATTTTCTGAGCTACGTGTGCAACATTTGAAGTCCTTGTGCTTGTGTTGAACATTGGACGTTGTCATTCGCAGAGTTTTGCGAAACGCCCTATTATGTCACTTTCGGTTAGCAGCAGCAACAGTAGCAGTAGTAGTCGCAGTAGCAGTAGCACTGGCAGTGTTAGTGGTAGTGGTAGCGGTAGCAGCAGCAGCAGCAGCAGGAGGAGGAGTAGCAGTAGGAGGAGCAGGAGCCGTAGTAGGAGTAGTCGTAGTAGTCGTCGTCGTCGTCGTCGTGGCGGTTTTGGTGGTGGTGGGGGTAGCGGGCAGCAGTAGTAGCAGCAGCTCTCGTCCTCCAGCCCGGATCAGTCGAAGCGAAGAAGCACAAAGAGGAGGCAGGGTAGGAGCATGAGGAGAATTCGTGCCTGTTGTCGTCGCATTTTTGTCATGTCGTAAATCGTAGCTTGGTCAATCCCAGCGTAGCCGGTACCGCGGATGGGCTCCGGAATTCAGACACTCTGGAAGGAACCCAACCTTACCATCGTCTGCAAGGCCCAAGCCCAAAACAAAAAACATGAGGACTTGCCGGGAACCCGGCCGTGCCAGTCCACTTCCGACCCGTGACAAGCTGGAAAGGCCGAGTGCTGATCTCCTTGCACAGCGGAAACACTTCACGGTTTTCAGGATCCTTGGGCGAGGCATTTTATTAGCCTTCTTAGGCCGTCTCGGGTAGGATCGTTTTTGGCTTTTCCAGATTATATAGTAGTATAGGGCCTTGAGGAGCAGCTGAACCGCCTTCCAGAAGAGTGCGCTGTCTCCAAATGATCCCCTCATCGGCCCAGGCCTTGCCGGCGGCCGCCACGCCAATGATGCAGGACTCGCCCCAGCCACGGTGCGCGCTCCTGATAGGTTGAGATTTCTTGTGTGAGAAATTCGTACGTAGCCGTAAGCCGCGGTTGAACACAACTGCAGGAACGGAGCAGAGAAGCATAAAACTCAGTCGGCACCAACACGGGAGTCCATCTCCAGGACCGTGAGGCTGCTTCTTGCCAAGTGGCTCCAGCGCTGCACGCATCACCTCTGTGTTGCCAGTACCTTGGGCATCTCAACTTCTACTTGTTGCGTCCCCACTCCGCGCTGCCTATAGAGAGTCTTGTTCCGATACTGTTCCGTCTCCCGACATGCTGCGGTCCAGATGCAGTCAAATGTGTAGTCGATGCCCCACTTCGTCATCCCGACCAAGACCTCAACTAGAACGCAAATCAAACGTCTTTCTAGAGGTCAATGACATCAGCCCTTCGGAAGTCATCAAAAGCCCACCGCATTCGGGAGAGTGGTTCCGCTTCTGGCCAAACCTTCTGTCGGCTACACACGAAGCCTCCAGGGGCTTCGAGCCTGCTGGATAGGCTTGTCGTAATCCTTGGGATTGACACAGTCCGTGGCTCCAAGATCCTTCGAGGGTTGAAGACAATGCAGAAGCACAGCCTAGTTGCCAAATGTGTCTCGTTCTGGGTCTCTCTCCACTTACATCAATGTACATGCGCATATATATATATATATATATATTTTTATTATTGTTATTATTATTATTTTTTTTTTGGCTCCCACTTGGCACCGTCAGGCGAGCTGACCCTTGCATGATTATCTATGCGTGTATTAGATGTCTTTACAGACTCAAAAACAATACGCACGTGCACAAATGGCCGCCCGCACACACATACCCTCAGAGCCCTCCAAACTTTGCTTGTGTTGTGCACAGACATACACACGTACAGCACGCTCATACATACATATGCATACAAATATGCCTACCTACCTACATGCATACATACATACAATCGATCAACCCATTCATCATCCATCAATCCATCCATCCATCGATTCATCAATCAATCAATCACAAAACCAATCTATCTATCTATTATTTGTGCCTGATGACAGGAGCTTGATTGTGAATTTCCCCGGGCATGTGCACATTACAACTCTGGATCTACGCACGCACCGTTGCATGCATCTGCCCCTGCGAGACTAGGCGCATGTAGCACTTGCATGCGCATAGGGGTTTTTGAATGCTTGCATAGGCATACATTAACATGCAGTAAGTCCACCTGCTGGCAGACCGACCTGTACGAGCCTTTTTTGCATGCCGACGTGCATGCCCGGATTACCCATGAGTTTCTGGCTTTGGTCCTTTTGTGCTACAAAGAGGCTGGGCCCTCGCATGACGGGGCAGCCACACTAGCACCTCACGGGTTTAGCCTTGCAACGCCGAGAAAAATTCAGCTTGCCTCCTTGCCCGAACTCTCGGCACGACACAGGCTACACCTACAACACCCACTACACTCCAAAAGCTTGGATAATTAGCGGCTTCTGGGTTTAAGTTCTCATACTCCGCAAGCCTATCGAGGCGCAGTTACAAGGGCTTCGAGCGTGCCGCTCCTGGGCAATTTCGAACTTCTTTGGATTCCTCGGCATTTAAAATGAGTCAAAGCTGTGGTGACCAGGCTGAAGATCGCTGCAGGAACACGACCAAAACAGCGGAAGGATCTCATGGACTCGACGCTTGAAAAACACACGACGGACATGAAGTTAAGGGCATCGTGCCTCATGTATGCTGATGGAAATCGTAGAATGTGCTGGAACCTGTTAGCTGCAGCATCTCCAAAGTTGGATGCCCAAAGCACCGACAACCTGCCCCACGGCTTACTCCGGATGTGGCAAACCAAAAAAAATTCGAATCCTGGCCTGCAATTCTCGACTACCACAGTGCAGCCCGAAGCATTCACCACAAGCCATGACTGTGCTAAAATAGGCTTTCTGTGCCAATAGCAATGTCTTTTCCCTCTCGCATGGCCTCTATGTTTGCGTTCAAGGTTTAAATGCTCGCCTGCAGCATTCATGCCAGGCGACGTGTCGATAGCGAAAATGCGGGATGCGCCCCTCATGTGGGAACCTGCCGTTGCTCGAACAGGGTGGAGGTAATCACGATGTGCAGTGGCTCTTGAAGCAAAAACCCGTCAGATTTCTGCGGAACCCTACTACACCGTCGCAGGAAATCCTGAAAGCAAAGCAAACGGCCGTGTCGCCTTGAATAACTGCCAAGCCCACAGCCCCAAGACCAAAGACGGCCACGCTGGAGCCACCCTGGGGCGAAACGGCTCCGAGATTAAGCCTTTCGCCAAGGAGTACTCAGGGTTAGGATTTGTTGGTATGGCCTTCAATTATTCGCCAAGCCGCTTTGGCACGGCTGATGTGGCAAGGGGTTAGGGCTAAACACACTAGCTTTCATGCTGAAGCGCATCACCACCTCAATACATCAAACAACTGTTCTACTGCTTAGCGCTCTCTGCACACGTTTCCTTGCTGCACACATTTGATCACTGAAGTGTCAGGTGCTTCGACGGCTCGAACTCCGTTTCACTTCCGATTCCCAGCTTGTAGTTGGTTCATCAGTTCATCAAGAAGCACAGCGCCAAAAGCGCAGCAAATTCCACCTACATAGACCGGAGCTACATAGATCGGAGCTTGATACTTCAATGACAGCTGGCAATGTTGCGTGCACACTACGGGTTGAAGTGCATTCCAGGGGTGCACCTGGAATTGCTGCGACGATCCGAT